GCCCTTGGGATTAAGCTGGCTTTCAGTGTTAGAAAGAGAACCCTAGAGAAATGTTTGTTTTAGCAGATGTGTTAAGCTTCTTGTGAGAAGTCAAAGTCACTGAATGAAGAGATTACCACCAAGAGTGATCAGGACAACAAAGCCTCAAAGCAAGTGGCTTCTCCATAGTTAATGTACTAAGTGCAGAATTCCCAAGCACTCTGTTTAGAAGTGGTGGAGACATGTTGGTTAGTGAGCAGTTGATTGGTCTTCCCGGAGAGCATTTTGAATCAGCTGAATGTACTGAGGGCGAGATTTAAAAGGTTGTTTCTCTTGGCTTTATTTCTTTTTTTCTAGAGGTTTTTTAAAGCAACATTTACTTTCTATTTCTTTCCAGTGAATTTAAAATACTTCATAACATAATGTGCTACTTATATCAAATGTTTATTGTGTGACCAGGTAACAAGAATTATGTCATGCTGAAAGTAAAAAGACTATATGGTCATCTTCTCACTCAGGAAAATGTAAACCAAAAAATAAAAAGTTATGTTTAGTTCCTCGGCCTCTGTGTCTCAGAGTTGTCCTATTGCTACTCACTATTCAACCACGGCACACAGTTTATTGGTGGAGGTAAGAGAGCCTGCATTCTGGGACTGTGCTGCCAGTAAATCTATTAGAAGAAATCATGTAGATCCCAATTGGACATCATGTGGAGGAGGAAGTGAAAGTTGGCTACCTGAACAAGAACTATGAATAATGTGTGAAAGATAATTTTTTTCTTCATTCCTTTCCTTTCATGTCTAACACCTTCCCCCAAAAAACTGCCTCTCCTCTGACTAGGTAATGGGGGTGCCTGTCACAGTGATTCTAAGTCTGTTTGTGGGTCTATGGCTGGATAACTGAAGCAGTATTTCCACAAAAGAATAAAGGTTTTGGCACATTGCTCATAGTCCATTGCATATGGCAGGTGTTCACGAATATTTCTTAGCATGAGTGTGTGAATAAGTGATTATTTAAAAACTCATTATTTGAGAATTTGATTTTCTTTTCATAGTGGCTCCCAAAACAGGGAAAGGGAAAGTTTTGAAACAGATCCAAAACACAAAAATCACAGATAATCATTTGTATGAGTAACAAATTTCAAGATCCAAAAGGATGGAGATAGATTGGAAACATGAGGCAAATTCAAGAAAATGAAATTTAATACCCAACCATGTACCTTTGAGATGGGAGAGAAATGGTTAACAGCAGCATGGCAGGATGTGTAAATACAGTCAGATTTCCCTTTGGTTGTACTGTATCAGTGCCAGAAAGGCTAATGCAGTTCTAAAATACTTCAACAGAAGCAAACAGGGCAAAAAACAAACAAAAAATCAAGAAGGTGAAGCAATTATTTTACTCTATTCTGAGGTCACACCAGGAGTATGCGGGCAACCCAGCCAGTTGATGAAGAGATACAGGAGAGTGCTAAGGTGTCCAGTTTTAGAAAGCTTGGCCCAAGAGGAATCTGACTAGCCTTGGCTGGGCGGGTGTGGGAGGGCTAAAAGGTACTTGCATCTACTCTAGTGGCTCCAGGAGAAAGAACTAGAAATTGCACATAGAAGTTTAGAAAGGGCAGATCTGAGTTCAATGTAAGGAATAATTTTCTAGCTGAGTTGCCTCTTTAGGGGCATGGAGGAGCAGGTTTCTCAAGTTGGTTATGTTCGAGAAGAGGCTGCATGACTCCTTACTGAAGATTTCCTATCAGGTTGGTCTAGACGAGTTACTGTTTCCCTCTAACTCTGTGACTGTGGTTCACATGCCATGTTGTGAAATAAAGTGAAGTCATATGACAGAAGGTAAATGGAGTTTAAGGTCTGTAAAAGTAGATGGCCACCAATATTCTCCATCTCCACAGGGTCCGTAGGTCAAACAGGCGGGCAGCTGTCCAAGGTGCTGGAGGGAGGTTGGCCTGTGTCGGTGGTTGTGCTCCCCTGGTTGTCTTCATGCTTGCTGTTTGTTTTAATGCCTCTGGATTTTCTGTTTTTCTGTTCCTCGTACAAACCTACCCTTCTCCCTTCCTCACATGCACACTGGGCTTAAACAAAGAGAAAAATGCACTGGAAATGTGTTAGGGGGCTGGGGCTAAACTACAACCTAGGGTTTCCTTCCTTTGTCCCATCCTAGCAGTAAATGAGTCCATGAGTCCATTTCACTTTCAAAGGTCCAGACTGGTATATAGGATTGGACTGTTTGAATGGATTGATAGTTACAGTAGAAATAAAATTTTTTGAGACACTTGTACTGATTTGCTTCTTGAGTTCTTAACTTTATCCTTTCCACAGTACATACATATATTGAAAGGAGACAGGAAACTTAAGCAAACCAACAATGATTTTTATGGTGAGGTGGAAGGAACACTAGATGGTTTAGTTAAACACCTCTGTGGCCTTTGGTATACCCAGGAGCTGTGTGTTGGTAATAAACCTGGCAACTTCTCTACTTTCTATTTGTGTTGCCTTTTATACATCATTTGACTTCTCAGTCCCTTAGTTTTTTCTGTCTATAAAAACTAAGGGTTGTGAAAATGAAATGTTAATATATGTCAATGTAAATACATGTTAATACACAACTAAGGGTTGTGAAAATGAAATAAGCTAATATATGTCAAGAACTTCTTAGAACAATACCATGTGGAAACATAGTGTTTTAATACTTTGTGTTGAGGGGGTCATCAAGTCCACCCTTTTCTGTATTTGATAATTTTAGTAATGTTTTCCTAACTTATTAGAAAGACCCACAGGACACAGAAAAGTTGTTAGACTGACAGTTGTGGTTTATTACAGAGAAGGAGATAGGTTGCAATCAGGAATGGAAGGCCATGCGTAGGGAGGAGTCCAGGAAGGACCAGCTGTAAGCTTCCAGTTGTCCTTCCAGTAAAATCACATAAACAGAACTTAATTCTCTTAGCAAAGATGTGTGACAACATCTGCAAAGTGTTGTCAATGAAGGAGGTTCACCTGTGCCCTGGGGTCCAGGTTTTTATGGGGGGGGGTCAGTCTCATGGGCATACAGTACCTTTGTGACTGATCTTAACTGCTCAGTCCTCAGCCTTCCCCCATCCCCTCTTGTTTCCAGACCCCACCACTTACTTACCCAAAGTTAGTCTTTGGTCAGGGGTTTCCTCAGTATCATCCCTTCGTGGTTTACCAGAAAGATGTTATTGGAAAGTGGTCCCAATCCAGACCCCAAGAGAGGGTTCTTGGATCTCGTGCAAGAAAGAATTCAGGGTAAGTCCATAGAGTAAAGTGAAAGCAAGTTTATTAAGAAAGTAAAGGAATGAAAGAATGGCTACACCATAGAAAGAACAGCCCTGAGGGCTGCTGGTTGCCCATTCTTATGGTTATTTCTTGATTATATGCTAAGCAAGGGGTGGATTATTCATGCCTCCACTTTTTAGACCATATAGGTTAATTTGCTGATGTTGCTATGGCATGGTGCTGGTGCTGTCATGGTGCTGGTGGGAATGTAGCAGTGAAGGTGACTGGAAATCACTCTCATCGCCATCTTGGTTTGGTGGGTTTTGTTAGGCTTTTTACTACAATCTGTTTTATCAGCAGGGCCTTTATGATCTGTATCTTTTGTTAACCTCCTATCTCATTCTGTGACTAAGAATGCCTTAACCTTCTGGGAATGATCTCAGCAGGTCTTAGCCTTATTTTACCCAGCCCCTATTTAAGATGGAGTTGCTCTGATTCAAACACCTCTGACACTCTTACTGCCTTAAAAGGGTCAAACTTATACAGTGTGACCTAAAAGCCCAGACATACAAAAGTAAGCATGCACTATAAATCACACTGTTAGCATAAACTACTTGGCATGAACTAAGGTCTCAGTTATACAAAGATCTTCTTATCAGGTAGGCTATTCTAAGGGCTTAGAGGAGCCAAAGGCCAGTCTTGAAAACTTGTAAGGTGTAGGGTTTGGGCACCCCAGGTCTACTGAGTTAACAATTTATTGCACATATATGTAAGTTTTACTTATTTGAACAATTTAACAATTTTCATAATAATGTTTTTAGTTGTCAACATTTATTAAATATCTACTGCATAACTCTTTTTATACTCTTTTATCTGTAAGCTGAAAAATAATTTGGTTTAATTCATATTATAAACTTAGAAAAAATTATTATTACTTCAATATAAAAGGACACATCAAAAACTAATGATCATTACTAGTATTGCAATAGTGGTTGTTCATAAGAGTGCTTCATAAGTTTTAACTATAATTTCATGCCAAATGCTCTATGCATATTATTAGTTGTAGTCCTTATCAACAACTGTGGGAAATAGGTAATACTTGTAATATACAGGTGAGAGAATCAAGGTCCAGAGAGTTTCAAGAACTCCCCTAAGCTTCCCAGCCAGTAAGGGACAGAGTCTAACTTTACCATCTGATTCATAGTCTTAACATCATGCATGATAGTTTCCAGTGACTCTCAGAGACAAAAGGTTTAAAAGGTACACTAAAACATTAAAAATTCAACAAACTTTATATATCTCAAGGTACACAGGATATTTAGATGCTGGGGCAGAGTGTGGCTAGAATACATATGTCCCTTTTACCAAGAGAAGTGATCACTGCAAAGAATATTCCAATACTCCAAAATGCTTTTTTGCCATAAAAATATGGTATAGCAAGCAAAAGTAAGAAAAACAGAGATATGAAAGGGAACACATTATGCAGTTATTTTGGGTGTCTTTATTTCTTATTTTTATTTTGGAGACAGGGTCTACCTCTGTCACCCAGGCTGGAGTGCAGTGTCACAATATGGCTCACTGCAGCCTCAAACTCCTGGACTCAAGTGATCATCTCACCTCAGCCTCCTTAGTAGCTGGGATTACTGGCATGTGCCACTGCACCTAGTTAATTTTTGAGTGTCTATTAAAAAGAGAAATATAAAATCCAGATGTCTTCAAAGGTTCCAAAATTGTCACCATGAATTGTTTGTAATTCTGTCTTTTTCCCTCCCCACTTGTTAGATCTCAGTCTGTGGTAGAAGCCGGGACCCTGAAACATGAGGAGAAGGGAGAGAATGAGAACACTCAGCCACTCCTGGCTCTGGACTGAACCCTGAGTCACACCAATGCTCCCGCACACTGGCCTTCAGTGGTATCAGCCACCCAGGAAGCACATGTGCAACTGACCCACACAGACACGTGTGTTCTGCTTGACACAAGGTCCTCCACTCCTGACCCCCTGCAGTGACTGTCACCAGCCATCGGTCTGAGCAGCCAAAGTTGGACAAAGACTTGAGAGATGCTTTTTTTTTCCCCCCACCACAGTGAGGGGACTGGAGGATGATGCAAGGCATTTATGTAAAAAAGATTATCCTTCCTATTTATGGTAGTAAACAAATTGAAAAAATAAAAAACTAAATTTGATGCACACACTGCATTAGGACAAGAATTTTTCTGGGGTATCACACAAGGACCCTCTCTGGTTTTTGAAAATTAAGTGCATTTCCAAGTAAATGTATCAGAGTTAAACTGTGCAGACACCACTGTCAAGTTTCATGTAGTACAAAGCCCTGAGACAATAGCATCTCTGGTAATTTCCATTCTTACTGAATTATTTCCTTTGACCTCATCACCAGCATTGAATCGTTCAGCCTAAGAGCATGTTCTCATAGGTCTGGGTATTTGCAAAGTTTGCTTATTTTGATATCCTGCAAAAAAATTATTTTGATGTCACATCTCTTGTCAGGCCACTAGCTGACTGTCATGAGCTGACTTTAAAGGAAGACACACGCACATGAAATACAATTATTTCATCTGAGCAATGTGAGTTTCCCCCACAGGCAGTTCAAGAGCCCATTAGTGCAGCGTGTGTCTGCAGAGGAGCTGTCTCACTGAAAACACATGTCAGTGATTAATGAATCCATTCCAGTTGTCTCAACTGGTCACTACAGCAAAGAAAAGTGCTATCAAACCATTTACCCCTTGTCCCCAACCCTCCTGCAACCATTAAAGATGTGGAGAAAGAACGTGGTTGTTGCTCCGAGGGTAAATATTCAATCATGGAGCAAGACCCATATGGATGGTTAAATATGCAAGTACTAAATAAGAGAAGACTAGAAATGCAAGATGAAATGTCAAAGGTCATTTTATTTACCTATTCTCCTTAGAAATGGAGTCCCTAACTATCCATTCAAAAGAAATCAGATATAAAATAAACGGACATCATATGATATGATATTCTTACTTGTGCCATGTTTTCCAAGACCGGTGCATATTTTTAGATATCTCTTATTTGCCCAGCCATCTGTATGACATGGGTATTTATTAGTATGACCAGTTGGTGCTCAATGTCAAACAAAAATATTTTAGTTAATAATGGGCAGTAAAATATGATTTTACATTTTAAATATTTGGGAGAGTTAATTTGTTAGCTAAATAATTCAAGGGAAAGAGATTATTCAACTCGTCAAATCACCCCTGATAATGTTATTACTAATCTTAATTATTGATTACATCTCTTTCCCAATGGATCTAATATTTTAATTTTTTTTCCCTATTGGTAGAGAATAATAACAGAAGTAATTTTCATATTATCCCTTGGAGAAATAAAGTTGAAACAGAATTAAAAATACTTCTCAAACAGCTGTATCACAATATAAATTAAATTAATTCATTTTTGTGTAGACATTGGAAATCACAAAAATAATAACATTGAAATAATTCTACCAATGCAGTGACAGAAACACTTTTCTTATGTACCAAGACATAGGTAAGAGAAAGAAAGAATTAAAGTGAATTAGAAAATCCATTTTATTGCTTGGGTTTAAAATAGTTATGGGATACAAGTATTTACAATGCTATTGGAGTCAATTATTGACAACACTTTGCAACAGTAATGCCATTTCTAGTTTTTCAATTGGCAATACTTAGAACCCTACTGTAGTGACCTGATTTTAAATACCATATTTACTAAGTTAAGAGCTAGTTTTTACTCTCTTCCATAATTTCATTACATGAATGTAAGATGATGGCTCAACAATGATGACTTATAGTTTGAACTTCTTTATGTGTATGCAATATACATATGAGAACCAAATTCAACAAGTGACGCGAATGTTACTACATGAGCATTGAATTGTATTGCCCTTGTCAGTTATTTCCTCTGTTCAATAAATACTGAAGGACACAAATACCTTTTTACTTTTCAAGAGTTTGCCTTCTCTTCTCGATTTTATTTAATTTGGATATTTTTCCTCCCATGCCTCTTCATCTGATTTAGTGGGATGTTTTCAATACCAGCAAAACAAAAGAACAGGAAAAGTATTTTGCAAACTTATCCACTGGAAGCTAATGTCCTTAAGGTCAAGCAAAAAGAGTCAATTTCAATTACAAAGAGCTGTTCTTTAAATGAGATAAAGAAAGTCTCCTTTTGTTTTTAGATGGAAAAGAAAGCACACGTTTTTTCTACCTGTGAATGAAATTTGGTGACCTCTGTGCCATTCCTGCAGCATTTTTGTTCATATTGGTTTAGAATTCAGTGCATGAATATCATTACATTCTTATAGCTAACATTTCTAGTTAGCTTTGATTCAAAACATACAAAATCTGATGCATTAATACTTTACTAAATTAATGACTTGTTCATCTTTGGAATGAGTAGGCAAGACGATTTTTAACTGTTATTTCTATGTTGTGGGTAATGTTAAAACTAAATATAAATGATGATAATTGCTATTTCACAGCGATGTTTAAAATGGCAGAGACTTCTCAAGTCAGAGAGATGGGACAGTCTTCCAAACTCTTTCATCAAAAAGGAAAGCAATCTGGACCTCCTACATCCAGGACAAAGATCCTGGCATTCTTAGTAACCTTTTACTCTGCCATCCTTAACATTTCTACAGAAGTGTAGCAGAAATCATCTCCAAGACTGAAGAGCTGGCTTCCTGTCATTCACATGAATCTACCATAGGCAAAGACACTGTATTCTCAGCCCTTGCCTCATGGATGGCGAAACAGCCAGGAGCCTGACACCCTAGCAGCCACCTATCCACCTAACCCTGAAAGAACATATTTTTATTTCCATGAACTATACTTTTTCCCCAGAAGCTCTAATAATTCGCATAAAAATTTACATCTGGGACTTCTATAACAATATAAGATAATTCCATGCTCTTTTTTCAGTGTGAAAGGTTCCTCTTTGAAAGAAATAGGATTTTGTCAATATCCCCACCACTAGCATAGTGAGAAAAGGATCTCAATCAAGATAAAAAAAAACCAAATGACTGGAGAGTTGGGATGGGTACAGTTCATAGACACTGGCATAATGACCTCTTTCTTTTTTGTATTAGGAAAATAAAACTGCTTTTTTCATGAGTGTCTTTTACTAAGAAGAATTAAAAGAGGGACGTCTGAGTTTCCCAGTAATGCTACCGTTAAACAGCTAGAAGTAAAGCATTTATACAGCTTGTCATTAAAATCAACAAAAACGTAGTGGTACATGATGACAAAATAGTCTAGCTACACTAGAAAAATATAACTGCATAGAAAAATTACAAACTAAAGCAATCCATTCACAGTTTCTACATATGTTCTCTTTATACACTGAATTAGATCTATTCTATGTGGAAAAAATATCTTTGGTAAGGTAGAAGCTATCAAATGTTCATCTTAAATACCGGCAGAAGACCACTGCTTTCATGAGATGACACACAGCAGGGCATTTCCTAAATGAATTGCAGCGAGGCAAATATTCCCTTTAGTGTCTTCTAACCCTAGCAGGAGGCTGAGAATTATTCAGGCTGCAAGTCAAGGGGATTAAGAGTCCTAGTGTTCGAAATTCTATCCTCACACCCAAGGAGATGGAATGAGAAAGGCAGCCTCTCTCCAGAGTGTCCCAAGCTTGCATGAATTCATGTTAAATTGCAGGAAGGCTGCGTCTCTGCTGTGGTGTCAGTTCTGGGTGCCACACATCCACGATGAATATCAGCCGGAAAGATGAAGCATCCTGCCATACCTCGTGCTCAAAGGAGTCATCAAAGATGAGCACCTTGCCTTCCTCCCAGGTCCTGCAAAAGAAAGACAAGGATTCCTGAATATAGCTTTGTGTGGTTCAGATGTCTGAGGATCAATTCCTGTCCATGCGCGAGAACTACCTTTGGTAACAACCTTTGGGACATAACCAAATAACTAGAACATCAAGCCCAAGTTTATTCTTCCCTTGATGATTAGGAAAGAATTTCAGAAATCTTGCTATGAACATCAGTTTTCATTTCTCAGCACTGGAGATGTACAAATAACAGAGGATTTGTGATGAAGACATATTGGTCTTATTACATGCCTTGCAATTATTCTGTATATTATTATATGTCTTGCAATTATTCTAGTTTAGACGTATGGGCAGTGATTGGGTCTCAGGCATCTCTATGCTTCTCAAGACACTTCCAATCAATTTTCTTTTCAGCTCACTCCACTTGTTCAAGTTTCATTTTATGGAAGAAAGGAATCAACTTAAACACGGTAACCATAAAGTAGAAAACTAAATTAGGAGTTTCCTAGCTAGTATTCCGGCTGAAGAAAATGGGCAGATTGGGAATGAATTTTGTTTGTATTTTTAGTATCATCTTCTATGCAAGTGGGTTATCCATGGAATATTTTAAATCAATGCTGCAAAACACCCTATAGAGCTTCCAACATTACCTCATAAGATATCTGCATAGGGACTAAGATCTAAATATAGTGTTAGTCTATTAAGAAAGAAACATACAGGAGGCAGTTAACACAATGCTTTTCAAATCTAAAGAGAGTTTACGAGTGATATTGATGGTTCCTTATTTTAAAAATAGATATTAACTGCCAATATATTCAATATCAAGTTATGTTTTTAAAATAAAATTTTTGCTAGAAAATTTTCCTTAGGTACTAAATTCCAGTTAAGCCTTAAAAATTTTGCACCTGGATTAGCAAATAATGACAATTATAGCATGGGAAATGCTAGCTTGATTTCAAGTTACTGTATTATCATAAAGATGTTTTCCTTGGGAAAACTAGTGGTGAATTTTTATGTCCCATATTAGGTGATTAACCAATATAAACTGGGCAATACTACATATATTGCAGGGCTTCACAACCTTGGTATTACTGACATCTAGGCCAGATCATTCTCTGTTGTAGGGGCTGTTCCATGCACTATAAGATATTTAGCAGCATCCCTGACCTCCACCCACTGTACGGCAGTAGCATTCCCTATACTATTAGGTTGGTGCAAAAGTAATTGCAGTTTTTGCCATAGTTGTGACAACCAGAAACATCTCTAGTCATTGTCAAATGTCCAGGGTGGGAGCAGGGGCAAAAATCATTCCAGTGGAAAATAACTGACATACTGAATAAATCTGATAATAAAATTTCCAAGTTATGTAAACTAACAGATAAAGTACTGAGCATTTCCAAGTTGACAGTTCATTGAAGTTGGGAACCAAACCTGTACTTCTCTACCCACCCTCCCACCTCCACCCAGTGTGCTATCTCACACACTTCATGATACGGTTTGGCTGTGTCCCCACCCAAATTTCATCTTGAATTGTACTCCCATAATTCCCATGTGTTGTGGGAAGGACCCGATGAGAGATAATTTGAATCATGGGGCAGTTTCCCCCATACCGTTCTCATCACAGTGAACAAGTATCATGAGATCTGATGGTTTCATCAGGGGTTTCCATTTTTGCATCTTCCTTATTTTCTCTTGCTGCCACTATGTAAGATGTGCCTTTCAGCTGGGTGTGGTGGCTCATGCCTGTACTCTCAGCACTTTGGGAGGCCGAGGAGGGAGGTTCACAAGATCAGGAGTTCAAGGTCAACCTGGCCAACATGGTGAAACCCCCATCTCTACTAAAAATACAAAAATTAGCTGGGTGTAGTGGCGCATGCCTGTAATCCCAGTTACTCAGGAGACTGAGGCAGGAAAATTACTTGAACTTGGGAGGCAGAAGTTACAGTGAGCCGAGATCAAGCCGATCAAGCCACTGTGCTCCAGACTGGGTGACAGGGCAAGATTCCATCACCAAAAAAAAAAAAAAAAAAAGGAAAAGAAAGAAGAAGAAGAAGAAGGAGAAGGAGAAGGAGAAGAAGAAGAAGAGCGCCTTTTGACTCTTGCCGTAATTCTGAGTCCTCCCCAGCCATGTGGAACTGTAAGTGCAATCAAACTTCTTTTTCTTCTCAGTCTCAGGTATGTCTTTATCAGCTGCATGGAAATGGACTAATATACCTTGCCTCATCGCTTGCATTCAACACACACATGTTGATTGGCTCTTTTACAACTCCTCTGAAGGTTTTTAGGGTTCCATTAGAGTTCCATCAAGGGTAGCAAAAGATAGAAATCTATGGACTTAGGAACAAAGGGAAGAATATGCATTCATTACCATGCAAAACCCAACTTGAGAACAAACGCAAAACCAAGTAGGGGAAATACGCTGACAAGAAAAATCAGTGAAACAGTTCACAGCTTCCACAGTTAGGCAGGCATTTTCTAGGTCTTAGTGTTGTCACTGGGATTAAGCAATGTCAGTGGATACCACAGACAAGCCTTATAATTTATGTAAAAGATGAGGGAGGAAGTGTACTCAAAACGAAAGGCAGTGCACCTATGTTCACAGCAGCACTATTCACAATAGCCAGAAGGTGTGAGCCACCCACGTGTCTATTGATGAATGAACAGAAAAACAAAATGTGGTATACACATACAATGGAATATTAATTCAGCCTCAAAAAGAAAGGAAATTTTGACACATGCTACAATGTGTATGAACTCTGAGGACATTATGTCAAGTAAAATAAGCCAGACATAAAAAGATAATTACTATTTTATTCTACACATCTGAGGTCCTAGACTAGCAGTTAAATTCATAGAGACAGAAAAGAGAAGAGTATTGCCCGTGGCCGGTGGGAGGAGGGGAATGGGAGTTATTTAATGGTTATAGTTTCAGTTTTGCAAGTTAGAAAGAGTTCTGAGGATAGATCATGTTGATGGTCATACAATATGGATGTACTTAACATCACTAAACTGCACACCCAAAAATGGATAATATGGTAAATTTCGTTATGTGTATTTTACTACAATTAAATAGAGAAAAAAGGGAAAGGCAAAGGAGAGCATGTGGTAGAGGAGAAAGAGAGAAGCAATACAACAAGATGGAA